ACATACGCGCACACACACACACACACACACACACACACACACACACACACACACACACACACACACACACACACACACACACACTCAAACACACTCTCACAAGTCATGCAGGCAGTTGTTAATCAATTATGCGCATGTGCTTATCGCCAGAATAATAAGTATAAATAACCATTCAATGTTGCGGGGACGTTTAGTTTAACCGGAGACAAGAGAAGTCATCTCCGGTTTAACCTACAATTCCTCACACAGTGGCAAAGCGTCTATAATTAATAATCAAATGATCACTGCCTCCCTACCTAATTTTGGAACACCTTCGCAGCCAAATTAGCCCATAGACGTAGACCTAAGAAATTAAATGTAAATAGACGTCCATAATCACCAATGAACTGGATGCCTAACATTGAAAACTGTTTCATTGCCATATAAATTCCCCTGTTCAACTCTTTTGGGACACTGTCACTGTCATAAGCAGTCACAAGCACTGATTATGTGAGCTAAGTATGCGATTGGACGAGTCTACCTCACACAGGTGAGGGGTGAGTTGGAGAACATAAAGTTGGCCGATTTATGTCACCTAACCACTTTGCACGTAAGTTATAAAAATCAATCTAAATAATTTCTGCAAGTGCAAGCGCACAGAGACACGACGGTTTAAAAAAAAAATAGGAACAATTTTCAGTTTGGTAGGAATTGGTTTTTAATTTTTGCCAGGATGACAGCCAAAGCCTGCTCTTCTTATCGATTTTAGGACCACCAAGGGATCTTTAACGTACACGTCTTGCACATGGGACCTCCTAAATTTTTTTAGCCCTCATCCGAGAAGGCCAGGAGTTCGATTTTAACTACTCTAAGATCAGGGGTGTGGCTGAAAGACAGCAGTAAGAAGGAGCCCAGAGGAAGGGATGTTTGGGAGGGGGCGGGGGTCTTCAAGAAGCACAGTTGATCACATAGTATTTCATCGCTAGATCTACATATTAACTCACCAAATCTGGTTCAGCCTACACACGCCGAAAATATTATGTGCCTACTTGTTTTCTACCTTCGGAAAGACCGATGCAGAATGTCACCGATAGGCGTACGCTCAAATATTATATGTGACCTCCCTGTGAACGCCATAACAACGACCAGTCTCATGACTGCTTTTTTTCTTCGACTTTTTATCGTTCTATAGTCAGATCATGACGTCGATTATGACACCGGCTCTTGTGCTAGTACTATTACCCGGCTGCCAAAGGCTAGATACCCCCCCTCCCCAATAAAAAAACCCATAAAAAAGAACAAAAAACCCCCAGCCAAATTTGAAATCAAATTGAAAATTGTTATATACATGTATTACTCGTCAATATTGTCATCTCTGCTTCTTTGCTTTGTGGTTGTGAATTCGGGTCTAAAGTTAAATATACTGTTGTAAGTGTTAGTGTTAGCAGGAATAACTGTTTTATGAGATACTTCCCCGATTATTATGGAGGTTGAACACACAACGTGAATTTAAGATTTGTTTACATTTTATTAGTCTCAATGTGACTTTTATTATAACTTTTTTTCTTCAAAATAAGGTTCTCTTAAAACTAGGTTATAACAGGCTCTATAGTTATGACGTAGATCTACCCACCAGTAAGAACGTTGTGTGTCTTTTTAATTGTGTTGCACTTATAGGCCTACCTAGCCTACATCAGGCAGCAAACATCCTGTGTTTGTGTTGACTAATTTTTTTAGAGAAAGAAGACTCTTCAGTAACGTTTGGTATAATAAGTATAACTATAACTTAAGTATAACCTACATTAACTAACAGTGATTATGGTGCCCATTTTTGGGGGGGAAGGTGCTAAAGAGGCAGTTTTGGGAAGAGAGTGTGAACGAAACAAACGTCTCGTCTTCAGTTTAATTTTAATTTGGGGTAGGGGTGGGGGTGGGCGAAAGGGGTAGAGGATGACTGCACTCACGTCAGAGGCCTCGGACAGTTCACCTTCTGATTCATGCAAAAAGTGGATGTGTGCACAGTGCACAGTCTATCCTGACCCCCGGGGTCTAGACCTAGTTTGAACAATGAGTCAGCGCGAGGGGTTTACTTTCCCATTTCTTTATATCTAGTATCTAGGCCTAGATACAAAATTCAAGACCTGCAATTACGTCAGTTCAGGCTAGCTAAAGATATTTTCGTCTGAATAAAATTTAGCTATTAACACGAAAGGTTAGGTAACGTATTTCTCCAACTTGTGCCTGCTAAATACATGTAATATGATCATGTAATACCCACTTATTGTACTTGAAATTTTTCTGAATTTTTCTGAAATGAATGAGATTACTTCTCTATGGCTTTTGAAAGCATTCATCTTAAGGTGTAGAGTGATCTGACATTTTGATGGATGCATCATCATCATGTAGATCACTCGATCAGACCTTAAAGCAGGTTATCAAAGGGTTCCC